GGCGGCGCTTCTGGGGGGGGGGCGGGGCGGCGCCGCCCCTGGCCTTGCGGGGGTTGTTTACCATGTTCATCCTGCCTTTTCTCCAACCTGCGGCGCGGCGGGTCGTAACCTGGCCGCGCGGATGGAAGAGGGGCCGCCGCGGAGGAGGGTTTTGGCGGCGGAGAGACTGTGATCCGCGACGCGGGCCTGAAGCAGCGGGAAGCCGTCCTCGAGTCTGGCTGGCTCGATCCTGGCGATCCCGAGTGCGTTCTCTGCAGCGGCACCCTCGCCCGCGGATGCCGCGGCTGAGAGCGCCGCGCATGCAAATATTGCGGTGCTCCCATTTTGCGCGGCACGGAGGTTCACCGTCGCCCGCGCTGCTGCGGCACTCGGCGGCATTCGTGCATGGACCATTTATTATTCGAGGAATGGGATAGCCAGGAGGACGAGCCTGGTGCGCGACGTTAGGCGGGTCGGGGGCGCCGTGGGCGGGCCCCCCATCATCTTCGCGATGCCTCGCATTGTTCAGCCAGGTGTGCGTCCAGTTCAGAGTTCTGTACATGTGCGTGGCGCTCTACGTTCCCTTTCCTCACAGCGGGCCACTCAGGCCCTGGACAGCCTCGCCCACTGCCCGGGAGCCTGCCAGGGCTGCATGCGTTAATGTTGATCGTGCTTCTTACATGGCTTTTAAACAGAATGAGGGCTTGCACGAGGCCCCTCTGGGTCTGATCATCCCCCGGGTTGGCTAGCCTTCGCGCGGCGGGTCCGCGGAACGTCGCCCCGCGGCCTCCGCCGCCGTCGCCGCCCCCCAACGCCCGCGAACCCCAGGGACAGGCCGAGGGCGAGGAGAAGGCCCAGCACCGCCGCCGCGCCGATCACGTGGGGCAGGCACGGGCCGCCCAGCGGGAGGCCCGCCTGCAGCAGCGGTCAACCTCAAAATCGCGGATCATGTCGTACGGTCCATTCCTGGCGGTGCCGCCTGGCCCTGCTGCGCTGCCCTCAGCGGCCGAGCCACTCCTGGAGGTCGCGAAAAAGGCCGCCGGGCGGAGCCGCTCTCGTCAGCCTCACGCCCTGCAGCTTCAGGATGCCCTCCGCCACCGTCTCGCGGTCGGCTTCGCTGGCCCATGCCATCTTGACTTTGACGCACTTCTGGTCGTAATTAGCACGGCTGGATCTTGAAGTGCTTGCACAGCTGCGACGCGGACTGGGCGTTGCCGCTCAAGCGAGCGCAGAGTTCCACCAGCTTTTCCCTCTTCGCCCTCTCGTCGTCGACCAGGGCCCAGATCCGCCTCCACGATGCACGGGAAGGGGGGCCCATGTTGTGGACCGAAGGGCTCTTGCCCTTGCAGGCCGCGCTGTAAGCCTGGCCCGCGTCGCGGGCTGCCGCCGCCATCGCGATCGCCGCCAGCATCTCGAAGGCGTAGAACGCCGCCGCCCCCAAGCCCCCCAGGGCGATGTCGCGCGCGGGAGCACGAGCCGCGCCAGGTGCTAAGCCGTCTCCTCGAGGTCCCCCTGCCGTCGGCGCGCAGCCGCCGCGCCCCGCCGAGGCTGGCGCGCCGCAGGCGGCGGCATGCACTCGCCCTCCTCGCCCCCGCCCTCGCCCTGCACCGCGCGGAGGCGGCGACGTTGCTGGCGAGGCTCACCCCCGCGACCGCGACCAGCTCCACCGGGGCTCCCCCGAACGCGGCGGGCCCGCCGCCAGGGGCCGCCGCGGCGGGGGCCGGCACTGCCCATGCGGGCGCTGCGACTGCCATGGCGGACGGCTGCAGAGCTTCGCCGAGGCTGGGTGCAGCGCAGGGATGGCCGGACGCCAGTGAAGTGCCGTTTGAAGAAATGGCTACATTGCGACTCCAACGTCAACGAAACGCACGCACACAGCGGGCACTCGATGGAAGCGGGCAAAGCCAAAACCGCCCCGCCGAACTACAAGCCAGCTCGACAGCATCCAAGTGCAAGGGCGAAGCGCGCGCGCTGGGTACTGCGAAGAACCGCCCCGCAGAAGCCGCACTGGCTCGTCAAACAGAACGCCCCCTCCACACTACGGTAGCTGCGATCGCGCACGCGATGCGCCGTGAGGACTCTTTCTGATGATAACACTGCCGGGCACTGGACCCCCTCGACCAACTCAGGGCACGCGCACGAGAACCAATCCAAGTCGACATACGCGGGAGGCGCACGCGCGGACCGAAACAAACCGTCAGGGCGGATCGTCCACCAGCGGCGCTGCACCTGGGGGGCCACCGGCGCCTGCGGTGGGTAAGCCGCCGCCCAGCTCCAGACCCGCAGGATGCGGGGGTCCAGCGAGAGCACCCCCTGCACGAACTCCGAGTCCTCGAGAAGGAGCCCGAGGACGGCGGCCCCATTACTCCAGCAGCTCCTCCCGCTCCTCGCACACCACGAGAGCCTCAAGTCGCTGACGGAGAAGTGCGCCAGCGGGGGCGCATGCTGCGAAAGGAGCCCGTCCGCCCCGATGGCCTGGCCACGGGCGAGGGGCAGGGAGCCGAAGACGGCCGTCAGCGGCACCTCGTGCTCGCACGGCCGCCGCAGCATCCGGAAGAGGAGCCCGAGGCGCAATGCGCAACGATGCTGTCCCCCCAGCAGCCCTCGAAAGTGACGACGGCTTCGCAATCAGCAGCCCCACTGGGATGGCGAGGTCTAGTCTGAATCTGCGGCGGGTGCCCGCCATGCTGCTGCCACCCCCCCCCCCCAGGCAGCCCTTGAAAGTGGCGACAGATTCGCAAATCGAAGCTCCCAAGGAATGGCGAGGCCTACTCTGAAACTGCGGCGTGTCCCAACTATGCTGCCCCCCCGCAGCCCTCGAACGGGGCGACGGTTTCGCAGATCGCAGCCCCCCAGGGATGGCAAGGTCTAACGTTTTTTGTTATACGGCGAGTACCCACCATGCTGCCCCCACCCCTCCCCGCAGCCATCGAACGTGGCGACAGTCTCGCAGATGACCGCCGCCCCCCATGGATGCCGAGGCCGAATCTGAATCTGCGGCGAGCACCTTCTAGGTTGCCCCCCCCCCCTCCCCGCGCCAGCCCTCGAAATTGGCGACAGCGTCGCAGTTCGCAGCCCACCGGCGACGGCGAGGAGGCGGGGCAGCAGGCAAGTGGGAGGCAGGGCAGAAGACGGGCAGGAGGCAGGGCAGGAAGCAGACAAGGTGGGAGGTGGGAGGAGGAGCGTGCAGCCGCAGTGCTCTGCTCAAAACGAAAGCCCAACGCAGGAGGGTTGGGAACGGATCGTGCTGCTCCACGTGCCCAGGAGCGTCCCCTGTTAGACAGCGCCTCTTCCCGTGCGCACGACTAGAATGCGCTGGTGCTAGGCGTGCCCGTCTCCTGCGCAGGCCAACTCTGCTGGCACAACACCCTCTATCAGACACCCCTTCCCCAAGCTGGCTTCCGCTAGTTCTGTGGTGCTAAACGTGCCCCTACCCCTGCAGCACCCTATGTGAACAAGAGAAGGAACGAGGAAGTGGAGGAGAAAAATGAGCGAGGATGAAGGGGAAGAGAGGAAGGGAGGAGAGTGGAAGGACCAAGCAAGGTCAGACCAAAGCTTGCACGCACTTCAAAGATCCTCAAAATTATGTAGGTTCCAATAGGGTTCCGAGAATAGGACCCAATAGGGTTCCCATAGGATCCCAACAGGATCCGAATAGGATCCCAAGTTGATTATTCAGACTTGTTCTTCAGTTCGGGTCGTCCTCGGTTTAGGTGATCCCTCGGTTAGGAGGGTTGTCTCGGATTGGGTGTGTTCATCGGGTTGCGTGTACTCCTAGGTTCTGGCTTTGTACCGCCGTCCCGGACATCGCCTGTTGCCGCCAGACCGTTGTCGCGCGGCCGCCGACCAAAAAGTGTATTCCTAGGTTCGGGTTGTGTACACTTCCTCGGTGTGTTTTTTCCTCGGCGTGCATTCGTGCACCTCGAACCTTCCAAACCCTGCAAGACCCCTAACGATTCCAACAGGAAGATACCAATAGGATCCAAATAGAATTCAAATAGGATTCCGAACGCTAATTCTTCAGTTTGAGTGTTCCTCGGTTTGGGTGGTTTCCTCGGTTCTTTATACTGTTCCTCGGTTTGGGATGTTTTCCCTCAGTTTGAGTGTTTCATCGGTTTGGGTTTGTTTCCTCGGCTTGCATGTTTCTGTGGTTTGGGTGGTTTCTTCAGTGTGGATGCGTTAATGGGTTTGGGTGTTCCTAAATGTGTTGTGTGTCAATATGTGTTTTGTTCCTCGGCGTGCCTTCGTTTCCTTCGAATTCCCCATACCCTTCAGGATCCCTAGCGATTCCAGTATTATGTTAGTATGATTCAAACAGACATCCAGCGGGGCTATGTACGTTTGTTCTTCGATTGATGCTTCTTCGGTTTGGGTGTTTTCCGCTGTTCGTTTCGTATTGCCTCGGTGTTGCGTGCTCTTCCTCGGTGTAGGTTGTTCCTCGGTGCGGGTCGTTCTCCTCGGTTTGGGTTGTTTTCTTCGGTTTGGGTTGTTTTCCTCGGTTTGGGTTGTTCCTCGGTTTGGCTTGTTCCTCGGTTAAGGTGTTTCTTCGGTTTGGGCGATTCCTTGGCATGCTTTCGTCCCCCTCGAACCCTCAAAACCCTGCAAGACCACCAGCGATTCCAATAGGGTAATACGAACACCCAAACAGACTTCCAACAGGACTCCTTTGTTCTTCAGTTTAAATGTTCCTCGGTTTGGATGGTTTCTTCGATTCGTTTTGTTGTCCCTGGTTGGGGTTTGTGCTCATCGGTTTGAAAAGTTTATTCCTCGGTTTGGGTTGTTTTCCTCGGCGTGGGTGTTTTCCTCGGTTTGGGTGTTTTCCTCGGTATGGGTTGTTTCCCTCAGTTTGAGTTTTTCCTCGGTTTGTTGTCGACTTCCTCGGTTAAGGAGGAGCCACAAAGTGACGAGGGCAGGGAGGAGGGGGGCAGGGGAGGAAAGGAAGGGGGGGAGCAGGAGAAAGGGGAGGGGGGAGATGGAGAGGAGAACGCCCGCGGGGCCGGAGGAGGCGGGGAGCACCGGGCAAGCGTGAAAGCAATCTCCGCGCGGTTGCCCAGCTGCTGCAGGCCGCTGACGTAGTTGATGAAGGACGCCTCGTTCACCTGCCACGAGGGCTGGGGAGAACAAAAAACAAAAACGGTGTCATGATGCGATCGGCTTAGGATACGACACAAGAATTCTGGACTACCCAGCGGCCCTCGAGGAACACACAGACGTCATGATATGATTGTCTCAGGATGCGCTCGAGGAACTCCTGCGTACCTAGCAGTTATCGTTTGTGGAGTCCGCAAGGACCGCTCGGAAATCCTGGAAATCCTGGAGCGTATCAATATCATGAGGTATTGCTCCTCTGAGGACAGGACAGGACAGCGGCCCGCGGGCTCCGCCTTCCCACGACAGAGCTCTGGGCCGAAACAATGCTCAGCGCAGAGACACATCATGAGTGCGACGCTCGGCGTAGAATATTTCGGACGCTCTAGGAAACATCTGGCCCCTGCAACCTTGTCCTCATCATGAAACGCCTCCCTCCTCCTGCTCCTCCTCCTCTTGCTCCTCCTCCTCCTGCTCCTCATCCTCATCCTCCTCCTCCTCTCCTTCTCCTCCTCCTCCTCCTCCTCCTCCTCCTCCTCCTCCTCCTCCTCAATCTCATCCCTCCTTCTCCTCCCACTCCATTCCTCTTTCCTTCTAAATCCGCCGACCCTGTCGGCGTGTGGAAGACGCTCGTCTATTGGTCGCCGTCGTCATCGTCGTCGTCGTTTCGTCTCCGTCGTCTCCTCGTCGTCTCCGTCGTCGTCTCCGTCTCCGTCTTCTCCCCGTCATCTCTGTCAATCGTCGTCTCCATCGTCCCCCGTCTCCTTTCCGTGGGCCCTCCTCCTTAAACGCGCCAGCCAAACCGACATTGAGCAACGTCGTGACTGAGTCGAAAAGAAACCCCTTCCCTTTGGTCCCTTCCCCGCGGGGAGAGGGGTCCCGTGGATACCACCCGAGCGGTTCCAGGGCCCAGAAAAGCCCCAAGACGCGGCAAGAGTGCCCCAAGAAGTCCCCAAGACGGACCTCGAAGGTCCTGAATCGCCGAATTGCCTCCAGACGGCTCAAGAGGTTTTCAAAACGCCCCAGGAAGTTTACACGAGCACTTCCACGAGGGCCCCGAGGGGCAAAAATCATAGATGTTCCTCAAGTGCTTGAAAGATGTTGGCGTTCTCATCTTGTCGGCTTCCAGACGCTCCAAGGCGGCCCCAAGAGACCCCCAAGATCGCCCCAAGGGACCTCCAAGAGGGCCCCAAAACGACCCAAGAGGGCCCCAAGACCGCCTAAGAGGCCTCCAAGACTGCCCAAGAAGCCCCCAAGACGGCCCCAGGGAGCCCAGACGGAGGAAGCGAACTGACATTACAAGCCCTCGGCCAGAGGCCCACAGATGCCCCGAAGAAGCCCTCCAAGAGGCCCCCAGAGGCCCCCAAGAGACCCCAGGGAAGCCCGAAGAGGCCCCCACGAGGCTCCCATGAGGCCCCCAAGAGCCTCCCAAGAGGACCAAAACTATCCCCAAGAGGCCTCCGAGAGCGCTCGTCCTCGTAGTCGTCGTGGTCGTCGTCGTCATCGTTGTCGTCTTCTTCGCCGCCTCCGCCGCCGCCGCCGTCGGTGTCGTCCTTGTCGTCGTCGTCGTGGTCGTCGTTGTCGTCGTCGTCGCCGTCTCCGTCGTCGTCGTCGTCGTCCACGTCGTCGTCGTCGTCGTCGTCGTCGTCGTCGTCGTCGGTGTCGTCGTCGTCATCGTCGTCGTCCTCGTCGTCGTCCTCGTCGTCGTCCTCGTCGTCGTTCAGGGTCGGCGGCACCGGCCGTACGGCCTCTCCGATAACTCCTCCCTGTCGCGCCTTGGGGCTGGTCGAAGGGGCGAGCCAGACGTGTCGCCTTAGGCCTCCTCACCGTTTCTGATCCTGGAGCGTAGAATTTACAAGACTTTGGCGGGCGGGTCGTTTTCAAACTGTGGCTCTCGCCTTAGCGCCGCGCACACTCGTCTTAAACGGCGTAAGAGCTTCACGAATGGAGGGCAAGTCGCTTTCAGAATGTGGCTCTCGCCTTGACGCCGCGCACATTCCGTCTTGATTATTTGCAAGAGGCGTCCGCAAGGTGTTCCCCTCCCACCGCTCCCCAACATCAATCCCACGCACCCCGATCCCTTCAAAGGCAAGGTTCCTCATCGAGGGCAGTTCATGCCCTTGCTGAGGGCAGCTAGTAAACAATCAAAATACTGGCATCCCTTTTTCTTCTCGTATTGCTGCTGAACAAGCGTGCGCCGCCTACGACGCGCCAAATGTGCGCCGGCATTGTCCTCTCCTCTTCCACCACCTCCACAACTGGTATGATTCGAGCGTAAGGCCGGCACAAGCATGGCTGGCCTGTATGTCATTGTACTCTAGCAGGGCTGCAGTCGGAGACAGGAGAATGGCGAGTGCAGACAGAACTTCAGCTCGCGCCCAACCCCCTCCAACATCACATCAACCCGACCCTCCCAAAGAGCACGTGTGGCCCTTAACGAAGGCCTATAGTCCACAGGCCCTGAGTTCTTGTGCCCTGAACTCGATTCGGGCCAATGTGCCGATGCCCGACGAGCTGGATTGAAACGGTGCCGAAGCCGAGGGTCTCGGCGGTCAACACGCTCGCAGCGGTCGACATGCACGGTATGCTGCTGTCCACCTCCACCAACATCCGGTATTCTCATAACAACCACCTCCACCTCTTCCACGCTGCCCTCACCGAGGGTCATGGGCATTGAAAATTATGCTTGTGTTAGTACTACAGAGTTGGCGGTCGACACGCCCAGTAATCCCTATCACAACGGCCTGGACTTGGGAACCAGTCGCTCCACTCTGCTTGCTCATCGAGTGGCGGCTCGAGCACGAGAGATTGGCGACCTACATGAAGTTGCGAGGTTGGCGGTCCGAGCTAAGGAGATTGGCGGCGTGATTTTCCTCCTAGAGCAGCACTCCTCCACCACAGCCTCACAACCTCCACAAAGGCCCTCACCCCCCTCGCCCACACCGCCCCCTCTGCGCCTCGGGCGCCAGACTGGTGGCAGAAAAAAACGGCATCCCATACACGCAGAGCATCTGAGATATGCCGACCAAGCCGACTCCATGGTCTGCAACCGGGGCCACGTGCCTCAAGGGCCCACCACCACGGCCAAGAATACGGAGGCGGAGGGGTCCGAGGAGTGGGCTACACTCAGCCGCTGTTCGTCTCGGGAGCCGCTGCGCTCGAACATACGCCACAACGTCAAGGTGCTCGGCCCACAACAGGTTTCACAGGAAGCAACCGAACGCCCGCAATGACTGCCATCTTCTCCTCCTCCATCCTCCTCCCTTTTCATCATGCTCCTCTCCACCACCTCCCCATCCTCGGCAAGCGCCTTCCAGAGGTGTGAACCTGGAGTCAGCGGGGTACGCGAACAGTGTAGGCCTGAAAATGCAGACTGGCCTTCTCCGAAGGCTTCCGACGACGCTGGACTCGCTACAGCCCCCCGCCCTACCCGCCACCCGCTCACGCACACAAGCCACGCACACACCGCACCACACACACACACACGCACGCACGCACGCACGCACGCACGCACGCACGCACGCACGCACACACACACACACACACACACACACACACACACACACACACACGCACGCAGGCACATCCGTACCCGTCCCACAGCAGGGGGAGAGGAGAAGGGAGGCGAGAAGGGGAAATTATGTGCGGAGTGAAGAAGCGAAAATGAAAGAAAAAGAGAGAGTGTGTGTGTGTACATCAGAGTGAGGGGGCCGAACGGTCAATCATTGTCCCTGGGTGTGTGGCTGAATAACGAATTCGTGGTGGGAATTCTGCTTGTTGCTTTGTTGTTGTTGTTGCTGGTGTTGTTGTTGTTGTTTGTTGTCGTCGTCCCACGCGCGACCCACCCGCGACCCACCCCGCGACCCACCCCGCGACCCACCCCGCGACCCACGCCGCGACCCACCCCGCGACCCACCCGCGACCCACCCCGCGACCCACCCCGCGACCCATCCCGCGACCCACCCGCGACCCACCTGCGACCCACCCGCGACCCACCCCGCAACCTACCCGCAACCCACCCGCGACCCATCTGCGACCCATCCGCGACCCACCCGCGACCCACCCCGCGACCCACCCGCTACCCACCCCGCGACCCACCCTCAAGGGAAGAAAAACCACCCGGACCCGACAATCGACGTTTACTAAACGACCCTCGGCGTTTACTAAATAGCACTGCCCTGTTCGATTCATTCCTTGCGTGCGTTTACTAGCCGGCTTCGCTTGCCAGGGTGATTATGATGGGGTGAATTGTCTGCCCTCTACACCCGCGACCCACCCGCGACCCAACAGCGACCCACCCGCGAACCACCCGCGACGCACCCGCGACCCATTTGCGACCCACCCGCGACCTACCCACACTGGTTTAACGAAAAAATCGGCGCCTGCGGCGGGCTCGTTGCATGATTTGTGAAACTTTGGCGCCTGCGGCGGGCTTCTCCAGAGTCTCGCACACTGCCGACGTCCCCACCGCCCCCTCACTCTTATCCGCATCTGTACGCTGGGTACGGTCTCGTGTCCGCGGTCGGCCCACCTGAGGGCGACACGTTTGGCTCCAGGCCCGCTCAGGCTGTAAGCGTCCTACTCCTACTCCTGCTCACGTCCCTCCTCCTGGTTCCTGGTACCTTGTGTCATGAGTGTCTTCGGAGGTTGGCATCCTCCCTCCCTCCTCCTCCTCCTCTTCCTCCTCCTCCTCCTTCTCCTCCTCCTCCTCCTCCTCCTGTCACTCCTCCTCCTCCTCCTCCTCCTCTCCTCCTCCTCTCCTCCTCCTCCTCCTCCTCCTCCTCTCCTCCTCCTCCTACTCCTCTCACTCCTCCTCCTCCTCCTCCTCCTCCTCCTCCTCCTCCTCCTCCTCCTCCTCCTCCTCCACCCTCCGCCTCCTGCTCCTCTTCCTCCTCCTCCCTATTACTCGACCTTACCAGATAATGGTCATCACCACTACCATCATCATCATCATCATCATCATCATCATCATCATCATCATCATCATCATCATCATCATCATCAGCATCATCATCATCAGCAGCATCATCATCAGCAACATCATCATCATCAGCAGCAGCATCACCAGCATCAGCATCAGCATCATCATCATCATCATCATCATCATCATCATCATCATCATCATCGTCATCACCATCTTCATCCTCACCATCATCACCACCACTACCAGCATGATCGTCATCATGATCCTCATCAGCAGCAGCAGCAGCAGCCTCGTCATACTCCTAAACACCATCACTATCATCATCATCATCATCATCACCACCACCATCATCATCATCATCATCGCCATCAGCATCATCATCCTCCTCATCATCACACATGCACAGTAGCATCGTCAGCACTGGTATCACTTCACTCGCATCAGCACCAACATCGTCAATATCATCGTCCTGGTCATCATACTCCTCATCACCATCACCACCACCACCACCATCATCAGCAGCAGCATCACCATCAGAATCATCATCATCCACATCATCATCATCACCACATACACAGCAGCATCGCCATCATTCATATGATTACCACTCGCATTAGCACCATCAGGTCAGCCTCATCCCCGTACTCATCAGCATCGTCATAATCATCGACATCAGAATCAGCATCATCGTCATCGTTATCGTCATCGTCAACATCCTCAGCCTCAGCATCATCATCACCGGCAGCATCATCAGCATCATCATCATAGTTGACATAATCGTCCGCACATTCATTACCACCAAAACCATCGTAGCCGTCACCACACTAATCATCACCATCATCAGCAACATCATCACGATCACAGCATCGTTATTGTCATCATCATCGTCATCAGTATCAGCATCATCACATTCAGCATCATCATCATCGGAATCCGAATCAGCATCGTAATCATCGTTATCGGTACCATGACCACTACCAATCGTCGTTCTCATCAGCATCAGCAGCAGCATCAGCATAAGCAGCATCATGGTCAGCAACTGCAACAGCATCATCACCATAATAACATCGCCCGCATCATCATCAGCATCAGCATCACCATCAACATCATAATCAACAGCAACGTCAGCATGACCACCACCATGAGCATCATGATACTCGTCAGCATCAGCATCAGCATCATCGTCAGCATCATCAACACCCTCATCAGCATCACCGTTCAGCATCATCATCAGCATCATCGCCACCAACATCACCATCATCATCATCAGCATCGACACCATCAGTGGAATCATCCAAATCCGCTCATCTCTCCTTGCCTTCGTTATTCCCCCTCCTCGCCCGCATCACCCTTCTCCGTCTTCTCCTTCGCCTCCTCCTCATCGTCATCGTCGTCGTCATCACCATCAGCATCAGCATCAGCATCATTATCATAATCATCAGCATCATCATCAGAACCGCCGACGTCGTCGTCGTCATCATCACCAACAACAGCATCATCATCAGAACCATCATCAGCATCATAATCATGACCATCACCATCACCATCACCATCACCATCAACATCACCATCATCATCATCATCATCATAATCATCATCATCATCATCATCATCAGGATCATCACCTTCATCGGCATCGTCAACATCATCATCACCGCCAACACCATCACCAGCATCATCTCCACCGTAATCATCATCATCATCATCATCATCATCATCATCATCATCATCATCAGCACCACCATCATAATCACCATCATAGTCAGCATCCTCACCATCGTCAGCAGCAGCATTATGGTCATCGTCATCGTCATCGTCAACATCCTCAGCCTCAGCATCATCTTCCTCAATCCTCACCATCGGCATCAACATCAGCAGCATCATCAGCAGCATCATTAGCATCATCATCATCGAAATAAATGTCAACAGCATTGACATTATCATCGTCATCATCATCACCATCAACATCATCAGCATCAGCATCATCATAACAGTCATCATGATCATCATAGTCATCATCATCACCATCAGCATCATAATAGTCATCATCAGCATCATACTCACCACCATCACAATCATCAGCAGCAGCAGCATCAGCAGCATCATCATCATCATAGTCATCATCATCATCATCATCCTCCTCCTCCTCCTCCTCCTCATCATCATCATCATCATCATCATCATCATCAGTATCATCATCAGTATCCGCCTCCCTCTCATGTCTTCATCCTTCCAACTCCTCCTCCTCCGTCTCCTCTTCCTCCTCCGTCTCCTCTTCCTCCTCATCCTCCTCCTCCTCCTGTTACTCCTCACCCTCATCCTAAGCCTCCTCCTCCTCCAACTCCTCCCCATCCTTTCTCCCCGCTCTTCTCCCCTCCCTTTTCTCCCCGCTCTTCTCCCAAAGGCCGCCGACGAGCGGCCACCCCTCCGCCCTCGCGACCGTGAGAACGAGGAGAAAGAGAGGGGGGAGGAGGGAGGAGGGAGGAGGAAGGGAGGGAGGGAGCGAGGGAGAGAAGGAGGGAGGGCGGAAGGGAGGGAGAGAGGGAGGGGAGGGAGGGAGGGAGGGAGGAGGATGAGGAGAAGGAGGAGGAGAACGAGGAGGAGGAGGGGGAAGAGGAGGAAGAGAAGGAGGAGGAGGAGGAGGAGGAGGAGGAGGAGAAGAACGAGGAGGAAGGAGGGAGAAGCGAGGGGGAAGGAAGGTGGAGGGAGAAAGAGGAAGTAGCGGAGAGGAGGACGACAACGAAGACGAGACGAAGACGACGAGGACGGCGACGCTGGACCTCCGACACCGCGCTGCTTCACAGCGTGGGCTCACCGTCCGTCCCCATGGACCAGTTCTTTGCCGCGGGCAGCTGTTTACAAGCCCAAGGAGGGGAGCCCGACCCCCTCCCCCCCCCCAACCCCAGAGACCGAAACCGCAAAGACGCGCCCTCCGTGTCGTTGTTGCGACGCCCAGAAGGTCAGGAAGATGACAGTAACGACGACGACGACGACGACGACGACGACGACGACGACGACGACGACGACGACGGCGACGGCGACGGCGACGGCGACGGCGACGGCGACGGCGACGGCGACGGCGACGGCGACGGCGGCGGCGGCGGCGGCGGCGGCGGCGACGGCGATAGGCAACTACATGTCTGCAATCCTACCCTGCTGGTCCGACATCTGACTCACTGGTGGCGGTTCATAATTTGAAGGGTGCCTGCAGCCAGGGTCGATTGGACCCGCAGGAGTAGGTTTCACAAATCCCAGACGCCCCACGTCGCAATTTCTCTACAAAACGGGTCCCCGGAGGACTCGACCCCTTCTCCGGGACCACTTTGCATCCAGAGTCGTGCTGTTGACGGGCCAGAGGCCTGGCACGAGCCCCCAGACGACGAAGACGGCGAGAAACCTCCCGCCATGACTTTCTCCACTACGCGAGGGGCCCTGGTAGGCCACCACACGTGAACCCCACCCCTCAGCCAATGGAGCCTCAGCAGGGGCATCCGAGCGTCGAGTAGACCCGCAGGGGTAGGCCTCGCAATTGGTCGCAGATCTCGATTACACGCAAGAGTGACCCTTGGCAAGAGTGGCCTTCGGTACGCGGCTGCAGGGGACCGCAGGGGGGCCAAATCCAAGCATGCAGGCCGCTGCCGGGGGGGACCCCTGTGGGCCCGCACCATATGGTCAACTCCGGCGAAGGGTCCCTCCAACCTGTAGCTGAAGATCTGGGGCGGCCGCAGCCGACGACGGCGCACCGGCCTTCACGGAGAGGGCCTGCCCCTTCCGGTTCACGAAGATGATGCCGCCAGACAGCGCGCTGCCAGCGGAGATGAAGACAGACTCCTGAGGGCCGCCGCGCCCGCGTGGCCGAGGCGAGCGAGCGCTGGGGGGCGGGGGGTGAGGGGGAGAAGGAGAGGGGTGAGGAGGTTGCGGAGCGAGGGAAGGCAGGGAGGGAGAGAAGGTGGGAAGGAAGGAGAGGGGGGGGAGAGGGAAGGAGGTAGGCAGGTAGAGGGGTGGAGGCAGGACGAGAAGGGGAGATAGGGGCGGAGGGAGGAAGGAAGCGGAGCGCGGAGCGACGGAGGGGGGATCCAGGTTCGAGGATCAATGATCGATTCTTCTGGACGTTGATAGTAGGGAGGGGAGGAGAGAGGAGGGAGGAGGGATCTGGCTTCTGCACGTCTGAGGGGCCCTGTCTGGGCGCCCCGAGGCCTCTGAAGGCCTCCAGAGGGAGGAGAGGGGCACTGCTTCCACTTGTTTCAGGCCCAGGTCCACACATGCCTGGCTTCGTCTACCCGTCGTTCCAAATAGCCCGCCGACAACGTGCGTGCCCTGGCCTCTGGGACACCCCCCCCCCAAAGAAAAGGGCAGGGCACGGACCCTGGCCGCGAACAGACACTGGCCGCGTGGCGAGCTGACTCGCTGACACCCCCCCTTGTCGTCCACCCCGAGAGAGGAGGAGGAGGAGGAGGAGGAGGAGGAGGAGGAGGAGGAGGAGGAGGAGGAGGAGGAGTAGGAGGAGGGGGAGGAGGAGAGGAGGAGGAGGAGGAGAAGGAGGAGGGAGGAGGGAGGAGGAGGAGGAGGAGGAGGAAGAGGAGGAGCCGACCTGAGACATCCCACGCGGACCTCCGAAGGCGAATGCTCACGCCGCGGGGCCCTCTTTGGGCCCTCCTGGAGCTCTACTGGGCCTTCCGCTGCACGGCCGCCTCCCCCGCTCCCCGCTCCCCCCGGGCCGCGACGGCCCGTCCCGAGGGCCAGCGCTGGGCGAGGGAGTCCGGGGGCATCGAGACTCGAGCATCGAGGATCGAAGCTTCGGGACGTCTTTGTTGGCCCGTGCTGTTCCTCCGGAAGTCCCTCGGGGGACCACTGGAGACCGAGGAAGGAAGGGGGGTCGGGAAGGAGGGAGGGAGGGAGGGAGGAGAGGGAGAAGGGATGAGGTCGACAAGGAGGAAAGGGCGAGACGAAGAGAGGGATGGGGAGAACGAAGAGGGGAGGAGAGGAAGGGGGAGAATAAATCGGAAGACCATGTAGCAGAGAAGAAAGACATGACTGTGAGGAGAGGGAGGACAACAAGGGAAAGAAGAGAAGAAGGAGGATAAGGGGAAAAACGATGGAGAACTGCGAAAGATGAGGAGGGAGAAGAGAAAGGAGGGATGAGGGAGAAATGTTATAAAGAGAAGAGAAGGAAGAGAGAGCGAGAGAGACGAAGGATGAGGAAGGAGGAAGGGGAATGGAGGGGCAGAGGGAGGGGTAGGGGTAAGCTGATTCAAGTCCTCATCCCCTGCCTTGCCTTCCTACTCCTAAGCCTCCGCCTCCTCCCCGTGCCCCTTCCCTACGACACGCTACTCCGATGTCTGGTTCGCTTGGTCCAAGACGTCTGCGGATGATGTCAACTGCGATCTGTTTGTTTATGATACGGCTGCATATGATGACTGCCCTTGCATGGGAGTTCGAGGAACATCTGCGGTTGTTCTATTGCTCTACCCAAACAAAATCGTGATCCTCAGCCTACCAAGCGGGATCTCCTGGATGGGGCATATTCCAAGCGATTCGAGCCAGAGGAATGTACATGCCCACCTCCTCCTCCTCTTCCTCTTTTTCCTCCTCCTCCTCCTCCTCATCTTCCTCCTTCTCCCGATGTCAGGGTCCATGAGCCGTTCCCTCTTTCCTGCTCTTCTCCGTCCCATCATCCTCATCATCGTTATCGTCACCACCATTACCATCATCATCACCACCACCAGCATCACCATCATCACCATCACCATCACCACCATCAGCATCATCAACATCAGCATCATCATCAGCAGCACCATCATCATCATCACCACCACCATCATCATCATCATCATCATCATCACAACAATCATCATCATCACCATCATCAGCATCATCATCATCATCAGTATCACCATCATCATCGTCGTCGCCATCGCGGTCGTCGCCGTCGTCGCCGTCAACGTCATGATCATCCTTCCACCCCCTCAACCTCCTCATCCTCATCCTCATCATCCTCTTCCTCCCTCCTTCTCAACTTTCCTCCCTCCCCCCGTCTCATCCACCACTTCCTCCTCATCGGCACCATCATCATCACCATCATCATCCACAACAGTAGCATCGTGATAATGATAATCATCATCATGGTCGTCATCGTCATCGTCATCGCCAGCAGCATCATCATCATCATCATCGTCATCATCATCACCATGATCATTTTCATCATCATCAGCAGCATCATCGCTGCCATCATCAGCATCATCGTCATCAGCATTACCGTTATCCCACTCATCATCATCATCATCATCATCATCATCATCATCATCATCATCATCATCGTCAGAATTACCATGATCAGTCTCATCATCATCACCAACATCAGCATCCGATCACTACCCATGACATTATCATCACCATCACCCCCATCAACATCATAATCAGCAGCATCAGCATCACCATCAGCAGCACTAACATCATCACCATCCTCATCACCACTATCGTCATCATCAGAATCAGCATCATCATCGGATCAGATCGAATCGACTGAGCTCCGCGGGAGGCTAAGCGGGCCCAAGGGAGAAACAAACATCCTCGGTGCACCACCGTTCATTTTCGCCGCGGCCGTAGGCGAGCGCGCCAGCAGCGTCAGAGGTCGGGCGGGCTACGCGCGAACCGAATTGCCTAGCGCACGGAGACCGACGGCCGAACCTAAGCTGCCTAAGCTGCCGGGCTGCGCGAGGTGGTGCCAGGAAGCGGGGCGGGGCAGCACCTCCGTCTAGCGAAGGGAAGATCTAAACGAGGCCGCTTGGCCCCTCGGGCCCCGAGGCCCGCGCTGCCCCCGTGCTCTTCCCGGGGCTCGCATCCCGGCCCCCCGGCCTGCACCGACAACGGCTCTGGCCGGACATCTCCTCTCAGGCTATCGCAAAATCGCGCTCTCGCACGGGAGTGCCTTACAATTTGTCCAGGAATCTCGCGCTCGCGTGGGAATCCCTCACAATTCACTCAGACGCCGCGCCCTCGACACTCAGGAATCACGCTCTCGCTGTGGCCTTTCTCACGATTGACTTGGGAATGGCCCGAGACTTCCTCGCGATTCATGCAGAACTCATGCTGCAGCAACCCGCCTTTTCGACCTGGCCGCCTAGGTCCGCCTTCCCGACCCGCCCGCTGGGTCTGCCCGCCGGACCTGTCCGCCTGCTTCTGCCCCGTGGGTTCCTGCTCCCAGCCCCCCTCCAGCTGATTTCTCTCGTGCTCCATCCTTCTCCCTCCCCCCTCCATCCTTCTCCCAGCCCCCCTCCAGCTGATTTCTCTCGTGCTCCATCCTTCTCCCTCCCCCCCTCCATCCGTCCTCTCTTCCCCTGTTTGGGGGCCTGCGCCAACTGCACGTTGCCGCTTGGGCCCGCCTTCCCGTTCCGCCCGTTCGGGTCTCCCCGCCCAGTCTGCCCGTCTGGTTCTGCCACGTGCTTTCTGCTCCTAACCCCCCTTCGTGCTACTCTCATTTGTGCTCAATCCTCCTCCCTTCCCCTCTTCCCGTCCTTTCATCCGTCCTCTCTTCCCCTGCCTTAAGGGCTGCACGAAATATACGTTGCAGGTAAGGAATACATACCCGCAAGGGGGGGGCAATGGAAGACGAAGAGGGAGGGTATCGAGGGTTTGAGATATACGTGTTGAATGGCATGCGAACAAATAAGAGCGAACATGTTCAAAATGCTTATTGTTGCTGATGGTGGTGCTCATATTGGTGTTGATGTTGTTATTGCTGTTAGTGGTGGTGGTGGTTTTGTTGTTGCTGCTATTGTTGTTGCTGAACTCTCAATACTTACGAATAAATATGTTGATCCCCCCCGTCCAGGCATCTTGTGTTTGGAAGTGCTCTTCCCGGGGCTCGCACCCGGTTAATTTGTATGTGGAAAGTTCTGAGTCTCAGAACAGTGTCTTTGGCCCCCCTTTTACAACAACAACAACAACAACAGCAGCAGCAGCAGCAACAACAACAACACCAACATCAACAACAACAATCAGCTTGATATTGCTCGCTTCTATCTGCTCGCGGGCCATTCAACACGTATATCCCAAACCCTCGATACCCGCCCTCTTCGTCTTCGATCGCACCACCTTGGGGGTACATCTTTCTTACCTGCAACGTGTATTTCATGCTGCCCCTACGGCAGGGGAAGAGGGGACGGATGGAAGGGGGAGGGACAAAGGGGAGGGAGGAGGATAGAGCACGAGAGAGAAATTCACCGGAGGGGGGCTGGGAGCAGAAAACATGTGGCAGAGCAGACGGACAGATCGGCCGGGTAGACCCTAACAGGCGGATCGGAAAGGCTGGCCCAGGCGGCCAGGTCGAACAGGCGGGTAACTGAAGCGTGCGTTCTCCATGAACCGCGAGGAAGTCTCGAAAGATAGCGCGATTCCCAAGTAAATCGTGAGATAGGCCAATGCGAGAGCGTGATTCCTGAGTGTCGAGAGCGTGATTCCATCGCCATCATCAATGTCATCCCTCCCATCATTCTCGTTGTTCCCCCTCCTCCCTCTCCCTGCTCCCCCTCCTCCCTCTCATCCCCCTTGCCCCCATCCTGCATCTCATTTACCTCCTTGCTAGGCCAATCCGTTCTTGGCTTGCGGGGGGGAAGAAGGCGATGAGGAGGAGGACGAAAATGGAGGGCCCGCCCCTTGCATTCCCTTCCCTTCCCCTCCATGTCCTTCATCTCTCTTTCTCTTTCTCTCTCTCCCTCTCATTCTCTCTCTACCTCCATCCCTTTCCCTTCCCTCGGATGGCCTGCGAGACCTTGGTGCGCACGAGCAGGGAGGCAGTGGCGACGTCAAAGAGGAAGAGGTAACCAGCCTGCCACGCTGCTGAGCCATGCCCCCTCATTATCCTTGAGCGCGTTTCCTGCAGTGCCCATGAGAAGAGGACGATCCTGCGAAGAAGCAGAACCACCGCAGAGCGCACAGGGCCTAAAGATCACACAGGCAGAGGAGAAATACCGTCCTCCACTTCTCTGGCTCTCTGGCTCTCTGTCTCTCTGGCTCTCTGTCTCTCTGGCTCTCTGGCTCTCTGACTCTCTCGCTTTCTCTCTCTCTCTCTCTCGATGTTTACAGATTTCTCTTTCTATCTCTCTCACTTGTTTTCTCTCTCTCTCTATTGTTCCCTCTCTCTCTCTGTCTCTCTCTCTCTCTATATTACTGTATAAACGCTGAAACAGGGATATGTTCGTATAGGTATATAATTTTGTCTTTCTCTCTCTCTCTCTCTCTCTCTTTCCCTGCTCGGTATACAACTAATACAGATACCTAGATATATAAAAATATGTGTCTATCCGACGACCCTGTCGGCGTGTGTAAGAGTCTTAGCGAGAGCCTTGCAGAGTCCCGGAGTGCCCCCACGGTCACCAGCCCGGCCAGAGCGCTGCGAGGTCGCCAGGTCGAGCGCTTCAAAGTCGCCAGCCCGAGGGAAATCGCCAAGTCGTATTCAAATCGAAGGGTAGCCCCTTCCCTTGATCCAACCTCGCAAAGGGGGGGGAGAGTGTTGCCCCCCCCGCCGAGCAAACGCCCGCGGGAGCGGGTCCTGGGTGAGGGTCCTGGGTCAGAATGCGTTCCCACCCCCCTTCCCTCTGGCCAGGTTGGCCCTCTTCCCTGCAACGCAGGTCCAAGACGCCCAAGATGTCACCGAGACGACCCAAGGCCTCCAAGACGAAGGAGCCCCAAGAGGACCCCCGCGAGGGCCCCGAGAGGCGCTGCTTTTGCCAGATCTGAATTAGCGTTCTCGTCTTTCTGCCTTCCAACT